ATATTCTATGTCTTCAATGGGGGGGGGGGTGTTAGGCACATGCGAACGTTATAATATTAACATGACTACATGCGAACAATTGCGAACAAAGGGGGGAGGGGGGGTCTAGATTTCTGAAAAAGTGCGAACGTAATATGTGAACAAAGCCTTATAGTTGTATTTTATAATGTATCTACAAATCCAATTCTTTGTAATAAGGTCGTGATTATTTTAATTTCTTAATAATTTATTACAATACATGGGGTAAAATGTAGTAAACCTTGGACAAAAATGAGCATGGATGATCTATAAAAGCAGAGTTAAAAACAATTCATATATCATTAAACATTAAAGTATATTAAACAAAATTAAAAATTTGTTAAAACCATTGCAATATATTGTATTAATTATGAAGTGTTCATTAATAACTGTATGCCTATCGGCCGTAATATTGGCGGTTCTGGTCGCGTCCATCGACGGCCATATGTGCAGCTCTACCGCCGACTGTCAGAACGGCGACTGCTGTGCGATTGACATAAATAACCCGCACCCGTACGGCGAGTGCACCAAGGTGTATCCCATAGACACCTTTTGCAGTAACTCGGTAATATAGCATTTTCAAATAAATAAATAACATATATAATTTTAAATATAAAATTATAATGCTATTTTAGTATTTTTTATTACAATAGTTTATTAATATTTTTGATTAAATATATGCCCACAGAAATGTTCGTGTGATAAAGGGCTTGAATGTAAAATTGCCCGAGCTGGCTTTCTTACATGCCAGAAACAAGCATAATAAATCTGCCTTAATGTCCATAATATTACATAGAATAAAATGACTACCAATTATTAAACATGAATTAAATTAAAAGCTCTAAATTACAAAATATATTATTTAAAAAATTAGTTTTTAAATGTTTGTTAAATATTGCTAACAAGTACAAATGTTATTCTTATTCCTGTTAATAAAATAACTTTTTATTGTACTGTATTTAAATTTCAAAATGATGTAATTTTTTGATTAAAATAAAGTATTGATTAAATTTTCTGGGAATTATGGATAAAATAAGTGTTCTAACGATATATTCTAAGTAATATATGTCGAAACATTAAGAACAATATGTCATAATCAACAATATCAAGGTTAATTAGCAAGGTATATATATAAAATACTATCAGCAACTTTCATTATTGTATTAAATTTAATAAATTTATCAATTTTGCTAATTATTACTATTATATATCGATTATGAGATTTTCACTAAAAACTGTATTACTGTCAGCACTAATAGTGGTGGCTCTGGTTGTGTCCATTGATGGCCACCTGTGCTATACTGACGCCGACTGTCAAAACAACGATTGTTGTTCAGTAGACATGAAAAACCCGGCCCAATACGGAGAATGTACCAAGGTGTATCAATTTGAAAATTGGTGTACCAACTCGGTAATATTGAATTTTATAATTATTAATTAAAATATCTAAATTTTGAATACAATTAAATACTACAATATTATACTGTACTGTAAATACAGTGTAGCTTATTATTACGTATAACTAGTGCACGTAATCGTAAAGTGTCCATGATAAATTTCTTAAATAATGTTTTTACTATACATTTTTACAGACCTGTTCGTGTGATAAAGGATTGGTGTGTAAACGTATACCTGACGGTCCCAAAGCACCTATTTGTCAAAAACAAGCATGATCGTCTTGAGTAAACCGCCCATGTTTATATTTTTCTAACAACGATTAAACCAAAATTAATTAAACACATTATTTTTTAAAAATTATTTAAATTTTAAAATTTAGTTTAATAATTTTTGCAAATCTTTTTATTATTACAAAACTTTTTTTTTGTAGTACCGGTAATTATTTTAATATAAAGTAAATTTTATTTTGAATATGATTTTAGATTAAATAAAGCATTGATTGTGAAATAACTCTGAAGTGATTGAGAATCGTTGCAAATAATCACTATTTATTTATACAGTATAACAAATACTGCATATTTAATGTTCATATTTTTAATAACCAGTTAAACCTCATTCCCTATAATCCTGGATATAGTGATAATCAATAGTCAGACAATAGATAGGGAGGGCTAAGGGTTCCGAAAGGGGGTATTAGAAAGTTTATACAGTATTCAGACACTTAGGTTTTTAATCAGATGTTTAACAACAAATTTGATAAAATTTCCATAACAATTGATTAGTTTTGTAGTTTTCAATGCCTGTTATCTTACATATTGAATATATTTGTATTAAAAGTATTAATTAGTATCAATGGGAAAATATATCATTTCATGTAATGTTAGGTTAGTTTATAAAGTTTTTTGTTTAAAGTTTTAATACAAAGAAATACAACAATATTTTAAATGGAGAGAAGCGTTCAGATATTGCTAAAAAACATAAGAAATATTTTTATCGTTTTGTTAACATTATTGACGACATGCGAGATATTAATACCAGCTTTTAGTCACGATTTGGTCAGAATTTTTATTGTCAATGAAAAAGTTCGGGTATGTATTAGTGGTCTCTCTCTCTCTCTCTCTCTCTCTCTCTCTCTCATTCACACTATCACTCACTGCAGGACTCGTTCAAAACGGATCTATACGTGTCGGCCATATATACCCAATTGATTTGTGCGATCGGTTTGGTCGCATATTTCAAGAATAGCTACAAAATCATCAGAATATTCAATATGTTTCAAGCGATGAACTGTCTCTTCTCGGTCTACATCTCTATCCGTGTGTTTTCGCTGTCCGTCATAACTGTTCTCAACCTAACCGTACTCTATGTCGGCTCCAAATACGAGCGGACACTCAAAACGCGGCTACAAAACACGGTTAACGGCCAGTCGTCCACCATTTCCACAATTAGTGGTGAGAGGGCTACCAGTGCTGTCGACCCGCCCTATCCCGTCGACCCCTGTCCCTCATATGAGGCACCGCCGGCTTATAGTGAGTTAATGGTTTGCGGACAGTTGCCTAAACCGAGCTAATGTTGTAGCTTATTGTAAATATATTTAAGTAGTGCGAAATGTGGATTAACATGATTATTTTTAGCCAATTGTGAAAAATACAAATAGAGTCAGAGTTTTCCGACTAATTTATTTTCAACTAAAAGTGATCATGATATAAAATACTACTGGACATCATGCAGTTATTAATATGTAAATAAATATTTTAACATGCGATAGAAATTTATTAAAAATTAAATGTTAGTAAATGAATGTGAATATAAATAATATACAATTTTTATTTATAGGTTAGATCAATTTCTAAAATTATAATTATTTCACAACCAATTCAGTACAAAAATATCACATTTAAGTCCCACTTATTATTTTATCAGTTAACTTATAAGTTATAGTTAATTATTTTATTAAATTTATAATAAAATTATCTTTTACAAAAATGTTAAATATAAATAAAATAACTCTTTAATTAATAAATGGGCATGCTAATAAATCAACCAATTTTATCAATAATAAATAACTAAACACATATAAAACTAAGATGTTATAAATTATTTAGAAGTTATTCTTATATTAAACAATAATATCCAAGAATAACATTAATTGATTATAAGATTGATATAAATGTTATATACATTTGTTGTAATGAGAGAGAAATGATTGAGTTTTTGTTGGGTTGTGTTAATTGTCTGTAAAGGATGTGACAAATATTTGTTGACATTTTGTTAAGTGATATATAAGGAGAGGATGAAAGAGAGAGACTACACAAATGATGGTACTTTATAACGATTTTTCTCCCGTATTAACTAGTATTTATATGTTATTGAATAACAGTTATTCAATGATCTATATAAATTAAAACTCTTTGGTTATTATCATTGAAATTGTAGTTATTTTTTGCTGATTTTGTTTTTCTAATAAATGAATTTTGTTTTATTTTACATTTTTCATAACAACATTCTTCAATATCTATTGTTTTATTATTTTGAAACAATTAACAAATAATGTAATGTAATTAAAGAGAGAGAGAGAGAGAGAGATCGGAAGTGGAACAGCACTTATATATTGTGTATCGTAGTTATCAGAGACTTATATAATAAACAAAATAATTGTTCAATTAATCACAATTATAACTGGAAATCGTTATTTCCGTTGCAATCAATTGTTTTTTTTGTGGCACTTCTAAGATATGTCTTTCATAGTCGGTCTCTTCGGTGACCATCACTTGACTGAGAGATAATCGATGAATGATTGCACGGATTAAATACTCAGGATATTATATAATGTTTGTAATTAAATATAGCATGTTTATATTACAATATTTAAATATTATTATAAACTACTAAATCTCTCTCTCACTCTCTCTCTCTCTCTCTCTCTCTCTTTAATTACATTACATTATTTGTTAATTGTTTCAAAATAATAAAACAATAGATATTGAAGAATGTTGTTATGAAAAATGTAAAATAAAACAAAATTCATTTGAAATCAATACTAAAAAAAAGCAAAAACAAATCATTAATTATTTTATCGCTGTTGTGAGCAATCATTTTACCGTTTAATTATTTAACATGTCTATAATAAACAACATATCACTGAATTTGTTATTCAATACCTTCAATGGGAGAGAGAGAGAGAGAGAGAAAGAGAGAGAGAGAGAGATTAACAATACCATATATTTTATATATTAATAATTAATACAAATTAAATATTATATTGGTTAAATGATAGTGGGATAAAATGTGAGTAAATGGGGTAAAAGAGAGAGAGAGAGTTTTATATCTGATAATAATAGTTTCTGAGGTTACGATTAAATTGCAATAATTGTAAGTTTGAGCACAAAATCAAGTAAAGGGAAAATCTATGACACAATTCACAACTATATGTGAAAACTCTTTGGTTATTATCATTGAAATTGTAGTTATTTTTTGCTGATTTTGTTTTTCTAATAAATGAGAGTAAAAATAATTATTTAGACCAAACAGAATAATAACAAACATTGACTTCAATTATAATACAAATTGTTTGTGTTGTGAAAACATTTGATTATTTTATTTTATAATTATTTATATATTTATTTGTTGTCATATAAATATTGTGTGTGTGAATGACATTACAATTTACATATAAATTAAATTGTTTATATTTTACTAAAAACCTATTTGTAAACAATGGATAACCACTTCAACGGCAATAACAGGCGTACAGACAGTCGACGAATAATTCATTACAAATTCATTTTTATCACTTCAATCGCCTTTGTTATCATCGGCTCAATACTGATCAGTATATTTCATGGAGATCTTGGTGAAAAATGGGTATATTATTATTTTTATCATCTCTCTTTTACCCCATTTACTCACATTTTATCCCACTATCATTTAACCAATATAATATTTAATTTGTATTAATTATTAATATATAAAATATATGGTATTGTCAGGAATTGTCACCAAAAATGTTGCTATCATTTGCCATAATAACGGCCGTACTATCGGTGGGCGCAGTGGTAGGCGCTGTGCGGCTGTCCTTTTTCCTGGTATTTGGTTTCTCAGTCTATCTGTCGATTCTGTCGGTCACAGTACTGGTGCTCACAATTAATCGACTAATACTATTGCCAGTGCTGGCCATTATAGCACTCGCCAACGTCTCAGCCTTTATCTACTCAAATGCGTTGAGAAAACTGGTTGTCCAACAAAAGGACCTTAAGGAGAGACGTATGGCTATTAATCTGGTGGCCAACGCTGTCAGATAGAGTTGTCCCTGGTCAGATTGGTTTATGATGTTTTCAAAATGATGTTTGTAAAACACGTTTTATTATTTTTTATGGTATCCATTGAATAACTCATTGATAACATAACTGTGTGTTTAGTGTTATTTTTCATTTTTTAATTAATTTATTGTAATATTTTTTCTGTATGCTTTGGAGTGAATTTACATTAATCATGTTAAATAATAAAAGTATTTTTATTAATCATAATAAAATTGTCAAATGTTTACTGTAGTTATTATTGGTAGAATTTCACCAATAATTTGCAATTTTATATCTCACTATCGATTTTAATATCAAATGTGGCGGAAATTCATTACTAATTGTATTAATATTTATATTTAGTGTTAAAAGATTAAGATTGCGAGAGAGAGAGAGAGAGAGAGAGAGAGAGAGAGAATGTATTAAAAATATTTTTCCACAATTCATTCAAAATGCAAACATAACAACAGAATTATTCACAACACTATAAATAATAAAAACAGTGTTATTTTGCATTAAAATTTCAAACAATTGTAGAAACACCTGAACTGACATCAAACACATACAGCCCGAGTATTAAGTCTCAATATAGGTACAATGCTATAAGGATTAGTTCTCGTTAATTATCATAGCAAAGAGCAGTGCATTTCTTCGCACATTGATGGCAAATGCAACCCTTTTTGTGAACTAGGTGCGAAAAAAATTGTATTGTTTTATGCTGCAAATTAACACTACTAATCCTCATAGCATTGTACCTATATTGCGACTTAATACTCGGAGTGTACACAAAGCATATCATACTGTATAACACTAATCAGTTTGACAAATGTATAGTTAAAACTATCGCATCCCAGCCCCTAACCTCTCAAATACCATACACTTGACAACTCCTACCGGAGCCCTGAAATGTGATCGCAATTTAATTTAATGTTTCGCTACTGTATTACAAGTGGGAGTATTGAAGGATAAACTAATGCCTTAATATTTTATGAATTTGTGATCACTTTTCTTAATATAATTGATTTATTTAGTAATTGAATTTGAAATATAATATTAAATTCATATATTCTCTACACTTATGGGAAAGGGATGAGAGGGTTGTACTGTATGTGTGTCTCGGCTAATGACCCATAAACGCAACTGATATTGGTTAATAAACAATACAGTGCGTTATTTCCTCGTATTATTTAATAATCAATGTAATTAACTTTTTCATTAATAACATTATAATAATTTAGTTATAATAATATTAATAATAACTGGAACCCAAGTAAGTACTGAATGTATAAATGTATAAATTCTAGAGATTAAATGCGCTCGGTTACTAACCGAGAAAGTGCATTAATGTAATAATTCATTATTCAGCAAATTTATAGTGAACTTTACCACAAGTATATATGGAAATAATCTTTAATATTAATAAATACACTCATCGTATATATAAATGCGTTGATTATATTTTCACTTATTTAAACAAATCATTTTTACCGATAAGACATTTATTAATATAAGTTATATTCGTATACAGTATTTGTAAAATACACTCAAAATTCAATATAATAGAAGTTAGCATATGTTTTGTTTTCAATACATTATAGGGAGCTTTTCACAAATGGCAAGCTAACTTGTTGTTGAACAATATCATTTTTATTAATTAGTTATCAATATCAATATTGTATCAATACTTTAATGATAATTATATATTGTTTTTCAATTGACACACGGCTTTTATCTCACACAAGTGGCGGATATATAAACTATTTTAAAATAAAAATTGCAATACATATTTGTAAATTCAAAAATTATAAAACAATATTTGTTTTGTGTTTGTAATATTAACATATAGTTTATAAAAACAAATTAATTTCACTGATAACTAGACTAGTTTTCTGAGAAATGCATTTTCTATTACAAAGGGATTTATTACTGCATTTAATTACATGTTTATTGAGATAAATATACGCCACTGGTATGAACGGGATCTTATCCCAACCCCCGCCCCCTTCCCATACCATATGATTGTATTGCTATTAATGCCTCTCTCTCTCTCTCTCTCTCTCTCTCTCTCTCTCCAAACGACAGAATTCAAGTGAATTAAACGTATATTTGATTTAATATATGGTTTGTCATATATTATAGCAAATATTCTGTTAAATGATACACATATTGTTTAATCAATTTGTTTGTGAAATAACAATAAGATTTTTATAACAAGTTATATCCTAGAAGTGTTTGTCCGCCACAACAACACATCAATTCGTTAATATCAAGA